GGTTTCAGGAAGAGTTTCTCATTCCTAAGGATTTCCAGGATTCTTCGGGTTCGTTTCTGGTGTTTGTCGAGAGAGTCGGAGAAGATGAGGATATCGTCCATATAGATTACCAACCATCCTTCATTGAGTTCCTGCTGAAAAGTGTGATTCATGTAAGCTTGGAACGTTGCAGAGGAGTTACAAAGTCCAAAAAACATGACATTTGGCTCTGTTAAGGCCGTGCTCAAGGGAGGACTAGATCCAAGGGGCTTGGCTTCAGTTCGTGCGCTGCGCCCCTTACCTGAGTACATGCCCCTAATTTCAGGGGGTCCGGTAGTACTAAGTCTGGTCATATGTAATCCAGTAGTACCGTAGATATTGATCAAAGAGTTTAGACTGCTAAGGCCGGAGCCGGTAGCAGAAAGGAACAGGAGTAGACTACCCGGAGGTAGAGCTGGTAACAGAAGTAGACTTAGGGGTCTACCCTAGTCTAGTGTTGGAGAATGACAAGAGTCGGAGAACTCAAGTCCGGAGAGGCAGGAATGAGCAGGACTATGTATAATATTCGAACTGAGGTATTTACAACAAGTACAGGAGTTTATATACTATAGGTATAGCTAATGATCAGCAATCTGGAGTACAGAGGCAGTGAGGAAAGCATATGGTGAGTATATTAGTAAGTCCAAATGGATCAAGTAAAGTAAGACGGATCATAGGGAAATGAACTCGGAGATGAAACAGGTACCGGATATCAATAAGCAGGCGGATATCTACAGAAGCCAGAGGGCCGGAAGTAAGGGGGATTCTAGATCGGGGATAGGTCCGGTGGAGTGGACCTGTCTGGAGTTCAGGTCCAGCGGTCTGGAAGAAGCGCGCTGATGGAAAGGGTTTGTGGATGTCAGAGATCTGGGATATGACAGGCTCATAGAGACCATATTCGGTAGTGAACACGGCTTTCCATCGGTCTTCTGGGTGAATGAGAATGTTGTTATATCCGGAATGAACATCCATCTTGGTGAAGTACTTGGCATCACGAAGTTTTGCGATAAGAGGAGGAATCAATGGAAGTGGATAGGCATTTTGAATCGTCCATTCATTGATATATCGGTAATCTTGGCAGGGTCGTAATGAACCGTCTTTCTTTCCTATGAAGAAGAATCCGCTAGCTTGGGGTGATTTCAATTCGGATATGAATTCCTTCTGAATATGCTTGTCAAGGAATGCTTTGACAGCTTCTCATTCCTTTTCAGATAGAGGGTAGATTTTGGATGATTTTGGAATGAATCCAGGTTTCATTTCAATACAATGGTTGATTCCTGGTCTAGAAGGAGGGAGCTTGTTTAGTCCATCTTTAGTGAAGATGTCAGTGAAATCATGAAGGTAGGAAGGTACAAGTTCTTTGAAAGACTTCTTCTTCTTGGCTTGTTCTCCTGCCATTGCGAACTCTTGGGCTTTGTTACTAGTCTTGTGATATTGCTCTTCTTCGTCGATGTTACAGCCGTCGTACTTCTTCTTCCCTTGATACGCGTTGCATACATGTGTTACCCCTGTTTCATCTATTTAGGTTCGTACTGCCTCATCCTCACCACATACGCATGTAGTACTATTATTACCGTTACCCTGTACCCTCACACAGCTTTTACTCTGTATAAATACTGCCTCTAGGTCACTGCTGATTCTTCAGCTTGACCTATGCAGATTTCCTCTTGACTCTTCTGACTCGACTTAGGATTCCTCTTTGGATCCTTACTTCTCTTTGACTTGACTTCAAGGGCTGTCCCCTTGTCATAGATTGTTTGGCTTTGTTCCTCTTGTTACACTCGGCGTAACAGTCGATTGACGTGGTGAGGAACTAAGAGTTTCGTAACAGGGCGGCGGTAGTTGTGCGGCGGATCTCGATAGCGGAAGTCCCATCTTGCGTGAGAGGAGAGTCGTAGGAGAGATTCTTGATGATTCAGATGGAAGTACCATCTTTGGCGTATTCGATAAGGATTTCATTGTCTGAAAGGGGATAAGTAGCAACTTCCTCTACTTTTTGGGAGAAATGGTCTGCTACCCATACGTCTTCTTTCTGATCGAAGTTGGGCATTTCGATGTCTTCGTCTTCGTCAGGAATAGGAAGGAGCGGGGGAAGGGATTCATCTCGTACTTCTTCAATGGTGGGTCTCCTAGAAGATGGTCCTTCAAAGATGGGTTGGAGATCATTTGTGATTCATTGCTTATTCGATGCATCATTCTATCTTGGTGGATCGGGGAGTTCATGGGATAGAGATGGTTTTGGCTGTCCAATCGATGATGGGGTTGATGGCACGCAGCCAGGGGATCCCAAGGAGTATCTTGTCTTTTCGTGAGAGTTTGGTGACGTTGAACTTTCCTATCATAGTTCATTGATTGATCTTGATTCCAAGGACACAATAATATGAGACAGGACCATCTTTGGAGAGTGAGCTGTCAGCGAGTTTGATTGGGAAGGGTTTTGAGAGACGATGGATTGGGATCTTGTTTTCTTTGACTAATTCCCAGCTGATGAAAGTTCCAGCTGCACCCCAGTCAACAATGACGGTGGTTTTGACAGTTTGCGCACACTTTGTAGAGATGAGGGTAGCCAGTACCTGAAATTCTTTTCTTTCTCCTATAGTTTGTACAAGGCGTATTGAAATGGAAGGTACTGACGTCGTAACAGTCCTTCTTTCTAAAAATCCATTCTCCTAGTTTCTTCGGCATCTTCATCATCATCTTCTTCAGGCGCTCCACGCCTTACCGGTACTTTCCTATCATTTCTTCCGGCATCTCCTCGGGGATGAAAAGCAGGGTTGTTAGTGCAATGACCTTTTTTGGCACACCTGAAGCATTTCCCAGTGCGCATGTACTCCTTTCTGTCAGCGTCAGACAGGCGGTCTACCTCCATAGTGTTAGGATCTTTGGAAGGTACGTAGCGGTTCAATCTGTAGTTCTTCTTCTTCTGTTGATTGCCATGACAGTTTTGGACGGTGATAAGGTGGTTCCTGGTATTCTCGAGATTAGTGCATTTTTCGACTAATTTGTCGTAGTTAGTGGGCACTTCTCCAGTGTTGTAAAGGCGATTGAGTAAACCAGGGTGGAGACCATCAATGAAGAATTGGATCTTGGCTGTCTCACCAGTGATACCTGAGTGAGTGATGTACTGATTGAAGGAGGAGAGGTATTCAGTGAAGTCATTCCCTTGTTTCAGGGTTCGGAGCTTATTGATAGCGGAGGCGGTAACGTCGAGGGGTGCGAATGCCTTCTTGAATTCAGTGATGAACTCGCCCCATGTTCCATATCCAATGACTTGCCCAGTGGAGCATGTCCGGGTGGAGTCTTGGGCGAGTTCTAGGAAGGATTCTGCCCAGGTGGCGGCTGCACCTTCTGTCATATGGGAGAGTGCAAAAATAACCTTCTTCTTTTCTTCATCATAGTCTTTATCGTTGATATCTAGATACGCGGTGGTCATGAGGAGCCATCGATTGAATTCTTCTCTGTCTCCATCGAAGTCGAAGGTTCCGATGTTCAGTTCTGTTTCTTTGGTGGTAGTGGTCATGGCAGGAGCAGCAGGTGGCATAAGTGGTCGTCGAGGCGGAAGTGGAGGGAAGCTGGGTGGTGGTGTGAGTGAAAATGCTGCAAGTGTGGGGGAAATCGATGTGGGGTTCTGAGGTCTTAAAGCTGGGGAGCTTGGTGCAGTTTCTGGAGTAGACGATCCTTCAGAGGTTGAGGACTCTACAGGTTCTGGTCTGCGTCGCCACGAAATGTTGGCTACTCGTTCTGGGGTTCAAGGGTTCAGCGATACTTGACTAGTAAAGCATAAGAAGTAACTTGAATTTTTTGTTATGACTAGGATATTTCTTCCGTTGTGTTCCAATAAAGGATGATCAAGACAACGGTATTCAAGAGTCCAAAGGCTGATCGAGTTTCAAGGGCTCATCAGATCAAATTCAAGTTCAAAGACTAGTTGAGTTTCAAGGGACTCGCTAGATCGGATCGATGGTTCTATCAGGTAAAACCTAGTAGATTCAAGTTAAGGAAAAAGATACAGAGTACACGACAGTTTATATAGGTAAGCAAGTGCGCACAGACCAGGACGAGAAAGGAAGGCATAACTAGTAAAAGTACAAGAAAGGGAAAAGGAAATTGTATGATAGAAGGACATGGAATACTGTGGAATGTTCATGTGCTTTGACATGTGAATATCGGTAGGAAATGAGTAAGCGAAGTAAGCGGTCATGTGATAAAGGAAAATGAGTAGGGTGCCAGCGCTCTTGTAACAGAGTGCAGAAGAACTCTGTCTCATAATAGAAATATACTCACTTCTTTCAGATCATCTCCATTGCTTTCTTTATACCAACTACTCATTTCCAATCTTTGGTACATCTTATATTGTTGTAATCTAATAAATTGATTATTGATATATAATATCATAGCTGGAACACCATCTTCAAGGTGGTCACTCCAGTGAGATTGGTAAGCTGTAGGTGATAACAGGGCATATTTTTGGCCTCAATCCATCCTACTTCGATACCAGTTTTATAAAGTGAGATACAATTCCAGAAATCCAGAAGATGCTTGGTTACTCTGTGTCATAAAAGTTTCCACCTATCCTTTTTATGAGACAAGAAATGGACCCCACAATGTTAATAGTTTTTGGTAACTGGGAACCACTTATAAAGATATTTATTTTTGTTATTGCTATCTAAAGAATCTAAGCTTAAGCTATGTTTTATATAGGTAATTAAAATTGTAATGTTTAGAAAAATGCACTAGACATTGTTAGATGGTCACATGTCAAGTGTAACACTCAAAAATATTATGTACTCCCAGTCCTCTTGCCTAGAGTTGGGTCACCATAAGTTGTTCCTTTTTTGCTATCATCAATTCTCAGTGTCTGACAGTTGTGTAGTTTATCTTCATTTTATCTCCAGATACCTCATTTACTAAAGATGGAGTTAGCACAAAATCTTGACTACCATATGCAGCCATGTTTATGTCACAATAATTGGAATAAAAGATGGCCAGACTGGGGTTTGAACCCAGGACCTTCTGAAGATACACCAGGAGCTCCAACCACTGAGCTACTGGGCCTTAGATATCACTAGAGTACTAAGGCTCTGTTTGGACACCAAGTTTTGGTAAATTTCAACTTCGAATTTCAGACTTGCATCGTGCTTTGTAATCATCAGATCTGACCAGGGTGATGTGTGATGTGTGACAATAATCATCAATATCAATATCTCCCCATGTCTGCCATTACCCAACAATCTGCTTGCCATGCCTGTTGCACTTGCCCCTATGCTAGACCCACCATGGCACCCCGAAAGAAAAAACAGGCTGCCGGAAGTCAGGAGCCTGAAATGAAAGACAAATGTGTCTGGACACTGGACAACGAGAATAAGCTCATAGATTTCATTGAGGTCAATAAATCCAGGGGTGGCGATGGTGCCAATTTTGACCAGACGTTCTGGAATGAAGTTGCCGTGCACCTAGCTGGGTCCACCTCACGGGTGCAGTGAAGACAGGGGAGTCATGTCTATCCAAATGGACTTGCGTAAGTCGTTGTCATGTCCCATCTGCTTATGATACTGATACACCTCTAGCTCCGTGCCACATTTTCCATTGTCGACAAAGTAGCAAATCATTCGGGCATGGCATGGGACAACAATTGTGGTGCTGACATCACACCCGAATCAGAGATGGTCTGGGCCGATATCATTAAAGTAAGTACGGTACAATCTTTGTGACGGTGCAACTACTAACACTAGCATCTAGGCTACTCCTAACGCCAAATCATACAAGACCAAGGGCTGGCTGCCGTACGACAAACTCAAGAACATTCTCCCTTCAAACGCGAAGGGGAAGAACACCTATCACCCCCTGCACTCCTCCACCACATCACTGGCTAGCACCAGCGCAACTGCTGCAGGCATGAGCTTTGAAGAAGTTGAGATACGGGAAAAGGTGGCAGTGCTGGATGAGATCGAGAATGGCTCCAACAACCTGGGTGCGGAAGATGTCCTCATGCCGCCACCCCCCTCCCCCTTTGACACAGCACTACAACCCCCCTTTGCTCCCTCTACACCGGGTACGTCTTCGGCTGCCGGTAAATGCAAAGCCAATGGTGACGATAGTATGAGGACTCTTGTTCGCCCTCCCGACTCTTTGAAGTCGAAGGGCGCTGGATCGGTGTTGGGAAAGTTGATCAAGTCCGCATGTGCTAACATGCCTCAGGCATTCCAGCAGATGGGTTCAGATATCCGGGATCTTAGCACCTCATTTGACCATGCGGCAGTTGTCTTGCAAGAGTGTGCGTCCCACACTGTTGATCCCATTCCACTGCACAAGCAGAAGGTGATCATTCAGCTGCAGAAGGAGGAGGGTCTGGAGGATCACGAAGTGGTAGCAGTGATCAAACATTTCCAGAATGACATTGTGATCACTGATTCATACCTTGCCATTGAGAAAGACAGTATCCACAGGCTTTTCTTGTCAGACTATCTTAAGTAGTCTTTTTCGTTGTATTGCAGTGCAAGTTATTGGTACACAAATGATATCATTTTGCTAGCTATAGTTGGGAGATCTGCTACAAAAATTCAACAGTAAACACAATGAGAAAAACTCAATTGTGACGGTGACTACTACATCAGATTGTCCTCCATGACCAACTGCCCTCTAAGCTCTCTTACAGCATTGTAGTCCTCCCACATTTGATGAGCAATATCATCACGACGTTCATGTGCATGGGTGTGTGCCTCATTAGAGGGAGGACCTTCAGCGAGCGCGCTGGGGTCATACATGGGGTCATGGTCAGTGAGGTTGACTTCCCGGTAGTCCAACATGTCATTTGGGTCATGAACACAGATGACGTTATGCAGCAGGCACAACGCTGGGGGGATGCAAGCTTGTACATCCATAGTATAGTGAGGTGGGAGAAGAAGGATTCAGAAGCGGTTTTTGAGAACGCCAAAAATGCGCTCAATAACGTTTCGGAGCATGGCGTGGCGCAGATTGAACAGTTCTTGGTGATTGCGAGGGCTAAAAAATGTAAGCATGAGTGAGGATCACAGAAAAGGCTACTCATGCGAGATGGCCTCAGCACCATTCAGCAAGGTGGTAGTGCACTCCATGATATGGTATGAGTAGTTCATCACATGCTGCAAATCCAGCATCTGCAAGATAGTACTTGCCAGGGGGGATATGAAAGTCCATTATGCGAGTGTCATGATAGACACGTGCATCAGCTGCCGACCCCTCCCAGCCGCTGAGGATATAGAGGAACGACATATTGAAGGTGCAGGCTGCAAGGCAGTTTTGAGTCAAGCCACCCTTGCGGTTGCGAAGCAGCATCATGATCTGCACTATCAGGGTGACATGCAATATGAGTGCCATCTATAGTGCCAATGGCATCAGCAAAGTATGGGTAGAATTTCAAGTTCTGGAGGACTTTGAGCAGTGTGGGACTGTCTGCATTAGGCAGATGGACATACATCAATAAATGGGGGGGAGGCGAATGCATTGAGAACATGTTTGAAATACCTCCAAAAAATTAGAGAGCTTATCCGCAACAAGGGGGGAATGTCATACTTTGATATAGTGTCATTCAAGCGTTGAAAGTGCTCACCAAGATGGTAGACAAAGAGACCTGTAACAGATGCGTACAGGAAAATGGTGAGCTGCTCCTTGAGCGTGACATATCTTGAACTTTTGCACCCCAAATCATGAAGCAAATTCAGGAGTACATAGAATATGTGACATCGTACTCCAAGTTCACATCATATGTGATCTGGATGTCCTGCGAGGAGTTCATTGATCCCATTCTATTCCTGAGAGGGCAGAAGTGTGATAAGGTTCCTTCTCGTAGTGAGTGTGCAAGTACAGTTGGAGTGCCTCAGAGGCTGCATCAATGATACAGTTGGCTGCATGAGCGGTTCCAATGAACAGCTTACGTATCCATTTCAGGTGGAGAACATCCAGCTTGTTGGTATCGATTGCGGTAGTACCCTCAAGACTATCCATGTCATCCTCATTGATGGTGACATTTTCTTGTTTGTCTTGTTTGTCTTGTTTGTCTTGTTTGTCCTGTTTGTCTTGTAGGTCTGCCAGATCAACATCAGGGTTGGTGATGTGGCATTGCATAGTGGTACCAGGGCATAGGGCATATCATTATTGATATGCCCTATCAGTGTGACATCAATATTCAATCTCCGTTTGTCCAATGATTACAAAGCACAATGCAAGTCTGAAATTTGAAGTTGAAATTTACCAAAACTTGGTGTCCGAACAGAGCCTAAGCTTTTTGACTACATATGACCACTGGATGTCTAACTACAGAGTACATTATATGAGCATAAGCTGTGTCTTATATTAGCACAGAGCATCATAGCACATGGGGCACATCATGAGTTAAGGGTTTGTTAGATAAGAGTAGATTATCAACTAACAGTTCACAACCTACAAGTAATGGTGGGTGGCACTTTGGAATGAACCTTGTATTATCTTAATCTGTCAAAAAATTTGATCAACTGCCAATATTGTGACTTCAGAAGCTGAAGGCAAAGATTTTATATTTGATTTAATATGCTTGGCCCTCACTAATGCAGGCCACAAAGATTCTGATGCTCTGACTATCAATAAAGATCATACACCTTTCATAACTCACATTTCACCAACAATTGCTTTGGCTGCACCAGCTGTCCCTCCTACTATATGTGCTTCCCTTCCTACTACACCAGCTATCACTCCTGCCACTAGAAATGTGCCTCAGGCCACTGAAACCATCATCATCCCAGTTTCCACTATGACTTCTACAATACTTGGACTCCTACCTGCTATGCCTGCAGTTGCTGTCACTATCACTACGGCCACCAAATTCTCATCCATTGTGCCTGCTACTGCTGTCATTTCTGCCACTTATCTAGGCATCACTGCAGTTCTCAAAATATCTAGCAATGGAAAGACTCTGTTACAAGCTGTAGCTTCTCAACCATCCTCTGGTCAACAAGGCTAAGGAAAAAAGGCTGGGCTACTCACACCTACATCATTATCAGTGAATCCAGATGTAGAAGGGCAGCAATGTAGCCAGGTGCAAAAAGAAGTGGTAATAACATAGTGGCAAAGCATTATACATAGATATGTATGCTATGCATTGTCAATGGCTGCACTTGTTATAATCAGATTTGGTTAGTCTCAAGGATGTCTGAATTGACCAGAAATCTAAATACATTTATTTCAATGTCAGCTCTCCAGTCCATGATGGGAAAGTCTCAGTGGTCAATTTAGCATCATCAAGATTCTATGCACCCAGTGATTTATAGCTGTTTTCACATGTAATGATACTGGCACTTCAATGTAAAATAAAAGATGACATAGACCAAAAAAGAACTTAGCATAAATTGTATAAGACTTGCATACTGCAATCATTAATATCGTGGGCAACAGAAAGATCTTGATTGATTTAAAGCTCATAGCTATTTGCCTACATGAATAAGGAATTCTCAGACTCAGTGAGATCTTCAACTGTGTTGGGTTCTCCTATATGATATTCTATAGAACCAAGAAGTTCTACAATGAGACAGACAATGTTCTCACCTCAATTAGAGAAAGCTCCCACAGGGTGCAACAATTGCCCTACTAAACTCACCTCAGACAAAATGAGCCTCTCACAATTTAATGGTGACAAATCTGCATGACCTGTCTATTTGACCATAAGGAACATTGAAAAGGCCACACACCAGCATCCAAAGAAGCATGCAGCCATTCAGGTAGGGTATTTTTCTGTTGTGAAGCCAAACTGCTTCAGTAAGTCAACATGATCAGTGGCTGGGTATTGGCTGTTCCATGAATAGATATAGTGACTTCTACAGCCTCTTGTAGCTGCTGGCCAGCAAGGTGTTAACATGGTGTGTGCAGATGGGATGCTGCATAGAGTCCACCCAATCCTTGCTGCATACATTACAGATCATTTAGAACAATATTTGATTACTTGCACAAAGAAAAGTTTTTGTTCCAAATGTCATGTCCACTGAGACAATTGTGGTGGACCTCTATCATCACTTCTGTATGACCAGGAGTGCACTATTACTATATTG